AATACTTTGAATTATTAGATTATTTAGTCTATTTATTAGCTCAAGATTTCTTATCACTGTTATTTTCTTCTTGAATCTTATTCATATTTTTCCGTCTTTATTCTTGTCGTTGTTGTTATCAAACTAAATGGTCTAAAAATAAAAAGGAAATTTCCAGTTCACTTAACCATGATATACAATGGTTTGACAAGTTACAGTCATTTGACATTCAGTAGTAGACTTAGCCTATTTTTTATTTTTTTGAAATATGCATCCATATGTATAGACGACAATCAAATGTGTATCTCTGAATATATATTTTCTTCACTTTATAAATATGTTTCTTTTTTGGGAGAATTCAGTGTAATAAATTAAAATATACTAAGACATTTCTTTTCCACATTTCTGTTTATATTAGTGCAACACTCAGTGAAAAAATAAAAGACAAAAGATAGGTGACAATCAATGCAATTCTTGCTTGAATAAGGCATAGAAGCGTAAATTTCGAGTTAATCCTGTGTAAATCTTATTGTTAATGTGTAGAAATAATTATTTTCATGAATATTTGAGTGAGTATTTACAAAATTTTAGGTATTTCATTGGTAGCCAAACATTATTTAAAGATATAAAATGAGTAGGAAGATAATGCATAGATCTTAACAGAGCATGTGCCCAATGTCCTACATTTCATTCCAGAGTAACAACGCCTACCACAATTCAACCGGTATGATAAAGCAAACACCGTCTCATAATTTTACTGGTAGAAGCCTGCTACGAATCCCTCAGAAAGCCTAGTATCCAGAGTCGCCTTAAACTATTTGTTCTCACTTTCAGATTACTTAAGTTTGTAAACTGTTTACTCCTATTTGAAGTTACAGAATTCTATGTCAAACCCAGCTACAAACAACCGTGTTTTTTTGTTCGTAACTAAGTTCTTCATGGTAGCTTTAATCTTTTACTAATGTTTATGCAAATGATGAATTTACGTCAGTGACTTCTAAAATGCTTATCTAAAACTTCCCTTGTGAGATCCAGATTGTACTGAGTTTAAGAATTTTCCCGTTTACTTGGTAACTCCAAGAACTCCAAAAAAGCATCATAATAACACATTAATAATGAATATAACTAAGATTAGTGAGATCGAACATAAATAATTTATATACCTTTATCATTTGGATAGTGGTTGTTGATAATAATAAAGTAGTATATATTGTTATATTCAAGTTAGTGGAAAATTAAATTTCTAATGTTTTACTACTCAGCTTAAATCTTTTATTCAGAGAATAAATAACCGAGTTTAATTAATACAAATTTAAATTATACGGGGAAACATATCAAAATATTTGGTACTAACAAACAACTCTGGTCATATTGATATCATGTTATTCAGGTCAAAGGAGAAAGATGTATGTATATAGACATGGCAAGTATAAGATTTGTAATGCCAGGAAGCAGACAGTGTGATTGTTTGGAAAGTTAAACCCACATTTCTATTGGGTGCAGTTGGATCTAGCACTGTATAAAATGTTTCAATCATTTATCATTTTTATAGTTGGGAATAAAATTTCGAATTATTCTGATATTTTTAGTATTTACTTGATCAGAGTCGAAAAGAGAACACTCTCATTGCTGACTGAATATGCAGATTCTAGATTTCCACAGGATTTTTCAGTTTTGTTAGAAGATAAGATTTTATGCGAAGATTGCACAACGTAGAAGACGTTATCATCAAAACAACTGATTCTGTAGGCACGATTCCTCCTCTTTACTCAGGCGAAAACCTTTAGAACATTCGTCTATTTCATAGACTACTTTGATTTCGTGCAGTTTTGAAATTCATGACCTTTCTTCTGTTATACGGTGGGGATACGTTAAAACTCATGAACAACCTACGGAATTTCATGTAAATAAGTATTTAATAGTAAAGGATTTTGTCTAGGTACCCTTTGAATAATATTGATAAGAAAATTATCAAGCTGCAATGTACTTATGATATTATTTTATTTCCTTTGATAATTCTCTTAATGTAATGATTTTAGGAATTTTTCTGAACAAATTGACAGAGTGGCTGAAGTCTATATACTGATATAAATGTGTGGGTTCAAAGTAGATATTCAGAATCAGAGGTCCATTTATATTTCTTTCTATAGAGAAATTTTTAAAATGCCAGCTTATTTTAACATTTAAGACAGAACTTGATGTAAACTAGGAAACTTATTTATCTGTTTAGAAAAATATTGCTATGAATTTTTTTAAATGATAATCAATATACTATCTACATATCTGATTGGAATTCGTGATCCTATGTCACCATATAGGAATTGAATAAGTTAGCAAAATTTGGATATACAAGGGATCTCACTGCAACTCCATATTCTTTTCCACAAAAATACCCTGTGGAATTTAGAATTCATTGATTAATTTCCATATGAGTAATGACTCAACGATAAGACTTTCAACAAGTTGATTTATTCGATAACATTTCTCACAAAATGTTCAGCAAAAAACAAAACAAAGCACTTTAATTTCCATTATTTTCTGATCAAATACTTTGGAAATGTGTTATTTAATCGTTCAAACTTATATATATATGTGATTAGTCAGATTTCATTCGAAATAAGGACAACAGATATTTGTCACTGAATGAACCCACATTTTACTTAGATGAAAAAAAAGAGTTGTTTCTATCTGTAGTTGTTAGGGTTGACCAAATGATTTATGAATTTTCGTAATGTATTGAAAGCTACAGGTTAACTGCACACATACACATACACACGCGCGTCAGACAAATAAATCTCTATATATGAAATACGATGACAAGAAAAAAAAGCACACAATAAGGAAAATATCAGTTCATATTGTTTAACAATATTTATTCATAGAAATAAGGGTGTAAGTCTTTTAATCACATGAGACAAATATCTCATGTGTACAATAGATCTTGTCATCCATATTGATTCGATCGAATCATGTCACATGGAAATTACATTTGTTTGTTATGTTGAATGTGGAGTTTTTTCTGAAAAATTTAATTGACAATCATTCAGAACTACTGTTTTCATTATTATTATTATTATTTATGTACTCACAAATTCGAGTATTACTTTAAATTTCAGTGCTGTTATAAAATTAGTTTTGTTTATTTAAAACCCTTTGTTTTAAATGTAAAGCATTAAGGTTGGATTGACTAGCTGTTAGGAGATATAACAGTCAATAAATTAACAGCTAGGGACTTTTACACTACTGTAAAAAAATACATTTTAATCCCTAACAGTTTTGCAATATTCTTTCAAACTACTGAATTAATTTTTGGTATTAGTTACAGTATCTTAGAATTAAACATCACTATGGTAGAATTATCATTTATATTCTATTTAACCATTGACAAGGTACTATACATAGTTGATACATACAGTAATGTTTGATTTATTAGTAAAAATAGAAAATTTATCAGGCACAACAACAGCTACTACTAGTACTACTAATAAAACTTAAGTAACACGTTTTACACAGTATCATTTTTTATCACTAAACTCCGAATAGGGGATAAATTTTTATTCATACATATATTTTGTTGATAGTTCTTACAGTTCACCTTTTTAATGAAGGACATAACCATGAAACACAATGATCGTGTGCATTCTACATCCCCATTAGTTCGACTTATAAAAATGATGATCAGTTTAACATCTATAATTTTTTGAACAGATTTATTCCGGTTAGGAAAATAACTTAAATAAACTAGACATTTCTCAAAGCATACATACTAACGAAATAGGTTTTTTTATGAGTAGAGGACAAGTAAATATTTTATTTTATATATGCATTTATTTTCGCATTTGTAAATAGTGAACTATTGTAAAACTTAATTTGAGAATTCACACTCTAAATAAACGTTACATAATGATTTTCTAGATTGCTAAATGTATTATACTACAAAATGATTTCTGCAATGAATGATTTAGTTTTTAACCGAAAACCCAAGGCACATTCTTATGAAGCCATTTTATTCTACTACCGGTTGAGACAGAGTAAATTATATTCAGCAAAATATTGATCCGAAAAATAGCCTTCACAATTATATTGAGAAAAAAAATAAAACTTTCTTCAGTTTAATAGCATTACTTTGATCGAAAACTATGAGTCTTTGGACTTAAATTAATATAGGTAAAAGTTCCGATATAGCTTAAGTTTATTTCTGTAAAAAAATTAGGATTATTGATATTGTAAAAAATTTTAGCTGCGAATAGTAGTGAATTCACTTTCTTCAACTCGGTTTTTCGTGTAGTTCATCCATTTATAACACTGATAACCATAACTGATTATTCAAAGAATTATCACTTTGATGACTAGCAAAAACTAGCCATATACGTAGATAATGACTTGTCCCATACCTTTATTGTTTCATAACATTTAGATAACGAAGTTGTCCAAATTCACTAGGGTTGATACTACTCGACTATTCATTCATCATTCAAACTTCCACACTTTTGAAAAAAGTGTAAATGCTAGCTAATCAATTTCTTTGGAAACACTTATTCAAATCCCGATGAATGTTTATAGAGTATATACTAATAATAATTATCGCTAGTTAAACACTGGAAGTTTGAAAACAGAATTACTTCAATAGTGTTTCGTTGTAAGGCTATTCTAGGTACTGAATAGTGTAATAGTAATTTGTAGGATCTTTGTGGGCAACATTTTCCCAACTAATATCACATTACAATTCATCGGGATTTTTTTCATTAGAAAGAAGCGAAACTCATTATCCGCATTTCTAAGCCTTAAACGGACAAACAACATGACTAGGAAATATATACAGTGTTCACATGAGAGAAAAACTTTATTTTAAGAAGTGATACTACTTACCTTTATATCCCGCAATTACTTAATGAAATTTAATACTATTATTAAGTATATTTTTAGTCTTTTTATCTATTGTAGTGAAAGATTAGGATTCCTAGTAATAATCCTTTTACGTTAAATTTGATTTTGCTTGTTCTAAATTTCTTACTAACTAGCTCCTCAATGTGCTGGATGTAAACAATTGGTAATGGATCGAACAATTCTACAAGTTCTTAATCAAAGTTGGCATGTAAACTGTTTGAAATGTATGGATTGTGGTATGTCTTTATCAGAAAAATGTTTTGTACGAACCGATGAATTGTACTGTAAAGAAGATTTTTTTCGGTAAGTCTGCGATTATCTATAAACATATACATATATCTGCATAACTGTTACATAATCTGAAATATAAAAAAATCTATGTGAACTTTAGATGAGTACATTTGATTGTTCATTTCAAGATTGTACATAAATTCATCTAATGAACAGGTCCTATTAGTTATCTTTAAGAATCCACTATCTTATGTAGTAACCTACCATAATGTTGAATTATTCTAGATTAATGATTATACTTTTAAATAATCAACATGAGAATGATAGTCAGACAGCAAAGAATTGATGAGTAATATTGTTCTAACTTTGTAAATTGTTTTCTTTTGTAAATTAAAAATCGTTTATCTTATCGGAATAAAACTTGCAACTCATCTAGATCATCAAGCATAAATAGACTGATCAGAGCTAGACATTAACACCATAGGATGCCGGCTCAGTGGTCCAGAGGTTAGGCGTTCGCATGCAAGACCGAAGCTCCTTAGTTCGAATCCTGAGAAGTGCAGGAGTCGTGGATGCGTACTGCTGATGAGTTCCATACAAAGACGAAACGTCCGTCCTTCATTGCTCTCAGGTTTCTAATGATGGTCTAACAATGATTGATTGATGATTTCAATGTGCAAAAATAAATAGAAAAATTCAATAAAATTCAATAATTTTTTTTTAATCCAACAAGAATTAATATTAATGTTTCTATTGTGATTATTATCAACTTTGTCACTTGTTAGTACAATAGGAATTTGTTAAAAAAATACAAGGGAGAAATGTAAATTTTTAACCAGTCACAATTATTCATCAATTATTTTTGATTGTTCATTAATTTCAATTACATTTATTTATTCATTCCTACTGGTGTATATCATAAAATTATAACACTGAAATAAATCATTTTAAAACAAATAGACTTGAACATTGTACTCCACTCTTTAACATTATTATTATTATTATTATTATTATTATTATTATTATTATTATTATTATTATTATTAGTAGTAGTAGTAGTAGTATGAATATCAGCATCATTTCTTCAGGTATTTTTATTTTACATAAATGATAATGGAAATAAGGAAAATAACAATAATAATGAAGAGATAATCTATGTACTTGGGAAAAAAAATACAAAATAAGCAATTTTTATCAGTTTATACAGTCGCAAGTGTATTCACTAATCGAAATCTATTCGAACATTCACATAGTTGAAATGATATTTATTTGAGGTGGTTTTAGTGTTGTTGTTGTTGTTGTCGTTATTGTTATTATTAGTTGTTTTTTGTGTTACTGTTGTTCAGTTTGCTTTTTTTCTAATTAACTAAATGGTGTTTATCCACCATTAGATTTGAAAAAGACAATGTTTCGTTTGTGTCTGTGTGTTCATGTGCATGGTGAATTGTTTTACTGTAGAATTTTTCTTTCAACAACCCCCTTCGATGAAGATTTCAGTCTTTACTTAACTGTCTATCCATTTGTCATTGCTCTCTTACCCCCATCGCTTATCGATAAACATATAGACACACATGTACAATATATCTTTTCTCTCTAGAAAAATAAGGATAGAAAGAATTTTCAGTAGTTTCAGTTTTCTCGACAGATTAATGAGACGTTGTATTCTCATTCTCATTGTGTTTATTATCAATATTATTATTATTATTATTTGTTATTATTGTGGTGAAAAAAAAGAAAGAATGAGAACAATTCCAGACTAAGGTGTCATGAAATTTTTATTAGTTACAAGTTGTCTGTCCATATTTTGGCATGAATAAAAAAGCTTATAATATATAAAGATAATCTTTTACATTATTAAGCTAATTCGAATTAGGTGGGTTTTTCGCTTGTTTGTTTGTTTATTTTTTGTAGGGAAATGAAAAAGGTGATGATGAGAATAAGTTAATAAGTTAATGCATTCATTATAAACTGTTAACTGTAAGATCGATTGACCCATCTACATGATTAACCTTTGTTCACGTGTCCAATTGATTATAAAAACATTTCAGCTTATTGTATTACAACAACACATATTGTCATGTTTCTTTTCTTTATCATTACTATTTAAATAGTTTCAATAAATAAATTAATCCCTATATATATATATATATATATATTCAAAATGGGACATATTTAGTTAGTTAATCATGATCTTGATTATACACACACTATTGTTAGATTTATTTAGTCAACAGTATTGCAGCCAAATATTTATTACACATTTTTGAAACCATGAATCGGTCAATGTTAGACCACCATTAGAAACCTAGGAGCACTGGACAGCCGTTTCGTCCTGGTATGGGACTTCTCAGCAGTGCGTATCCAAGACTCCTGCCTCCTGCAGGATTAGAGCCCGGGACCTTCGGTCTTGTACGCGAACGCCTTACCATCGGACCACTGAGACAGTATCTAACGGTGTTAATGTCTAACTTGATCAATTCACGGAGTTGCGCAACCTTATACACAATCTGGTGACGTCTTCCCACTAGAATTTAGAGAAAATTCCTCATGAAGCTAGTCACTAGTGACCACAGGTAATTTGCATGACGGGGTTGTGAAGATTGTAAAGTTACACATTTTTGAAACCACGGTTCGATAAATTATAATATTTTTCAATTAGAGTTATGGAGATAATGAACTTACTGATATTTCAAATTATACTTTGCTGTACAGTGAAATCATCAATCAATGATTGTTAGGCAACCGTTGGAAACCTGGAAGCACTGGACGGCCATTTCATCCTGGTATGGGACTCGAATGCTGCGAGGTGCATGAGCCGTGGATGCACACTGCTGAAGAGTCCCATACCAGGACGAAAAGGCTGTCCAGTGCTTCCAGCTTTCTAATGGTGGTCTGATATTGATCGATTCATGGTTTCAAAAATGTGTAAATTAACAATCTTCACAACTCGGTAATGGAAATATTTATTATTCAATGATATCGAGACAATTATTAATTTTTATTCATAGGTAAATTAACTCTCAGGTCATTAATTATTACTATTTAGGCTGAAACATTTAAATCAACCAAAGAGATTCTAATTTTCAAGATAATCTACTGAATTTCTATTTTTAATCTTAATTCACGGTTTTGGTGAATACATTCAGTGTAGTCACATTCACTCCGAGCTTGGGATCTGTCGTTCGTGTATATCCCTAGAATATAATGCTAATAAATATTATTTTGGTAGAAAATTCAGCATGGAAAATAATTTATCAGGTTATATTAACAGCGAAGTTGCTTCAAGTGCTTATCTGTGCTATAGTACAATGATTGCACTATTCTTCTTTGATTGGCCTCGAAAACGATCCTTTTAATTTATGACCATTAGCAAAAAATTCTAAATTGAATAGAAGTCAGCAATAAAAATGACCTTATTCAACCATAATCCAGAAAAACAACTTTTTTTTCACTACTCATATAAATTAAAGTAGACATCTCACTGTAATTAAATTATTTTTTTCTCTCTGATTAATTGTTTAGTCGCTTTGGAACAAAATGTGCCGGCTGTGATAAAGGTATTCCACCGATGGAAGTTGTTCGTACAGCTCAAGAAAATGTATATCATTTAGATTGTTTTTCATGTGTCAGTTGTGCACGTTTATTAAATACAGGCGATGAATTCTATTTGTTACGTGATCGAAAATTAATGTGCAAATCAGATTTTGAAGCGGCTAAAGCGAGAGGTAAAATTATTTTTTTTTTAAATATAAAAATCTAATAATAATAAAAATTTTTAGAGTTATAGTTGTTAGTATTTTGATAGGTGTTCATCATAAAAATTTAGTCTGTTATTGCATAGTTTGTTATTATGGTACTTAAGGAAATTCAAATAACTAAGTCTACATTTAAAACAGTGAGATTATACATATGTCTCTTATATCATTAGAGTAGCTGATATGCTCATGCATTCTTCGTGTCATCTTACAGATGCAGTACATTTTGCAATCAAAATGGTTATAATCTTCATCCTTAGGGGAAGGAATAAATGAAAACAATGAATACGCGCTATAACTGTTTATCCATTCATTACAAAAGTAGTTTGTTTTGCTTCCAAATGATAAACTCATTCATATTAATTTCTTAATATATTTTTCACCATTTTGTTAAAGATTATCCATGAATGTGGTCATACATTGATGATAGCAGTATGATAGTTGAAACTAACTTTTATCAAAACTAACTTGTAGATTTTATTTATTACAAATGAAATAACTATGTTGTGATATTTACAAACATGCATCCTATAAGTATTGGTTAGAATTAATTAATCTTTTTAAATTATTTACTGAAATGAATTATTTTTTTTTACTTTAATTTCTTAGAAGCAGAATTAGATAATGCTAATAAACGTCCAAGAACAACTATTTCAGCTAAACAATTAGAAGCTCTTAAAAGAGTTTATGGTGAAAGTCCAAAACCTGTACGTCATATCAGAGAACAACTTAGTGAAGAGACTGGTTTAGATATGCGTGTAGTACAAGTATGGTTTCAAAATCGTAGGTAAGTTTAAATACTGGATAAAACTATTTTTTTAAAAAAAAAGTAAAATACAGTTGATATCTCAATAGATAATCATTCATAGTGATAATTATCTTTGAGTAACATAAATCTGAAGCTAAGACTCAGTTACGTTCGTCACTAGGTAACTATTACGAGTTCACCTTAGTCGATAAACGCGAATGAGACAATTACCAGCGTCTAGGTAGGCTACCTTGAATCCCAAACTGTAAAACAGAAGCTTAGAAAGTATATTCTAAAACACCCAGCAATCACAATACAATCAAGCAAACAAATCTCCTTTATTTATACATCATAGAAACGTCCTTGGGATAGTCACAAAAATAGCACACTAAAATACACATCAGCCAATTACAGCGATGGATTTTCTCGGTGGGAAATGGAATATCAAGGTCAACTGATCAGCCCATGCTCGCCAACGTGAAATCCAAAATAAGGCATTTATTAAGCGAGTTCTGGGGACTTAACATCCCCAACAGACTCTCACAATGAGATATCGATTACATATTACTTAAAATATCTAAGTCATTGAGGGTTTCAGTAACTGTTAAAACAAACCAGCAATAAAATCTGTAATCATAGTAATCAGTGATGATAATTCAGTTCTATAGAAAAATTATCAGAGCCCTTACGACTATGAATACATTTCACTGATGAATACTAGAAAGAAAACGTTGATCTATTGATTAACTGATTTCAGTCAATTAATATCACGAAATTCCACCATCACAGTCTAATAATGTTCACACTTTTAATCGAGAACTATAACTCAATAAACTTTAACTGCCATATCTAATTGTCAAATGGTGACGAATTAGTATATGCATGGATAACTGTAATGTTTTAGTCTTTTACGGAGGTGCAGACGAAAACCTCATATGGTGCCAACTGTTATCTTTACCAAGACATACTTCATGATGACTGAAGTGACTATAAAATGTCATGTTCACTAAACACAACATCATTCTTTCTTAATCTGAACAACTTCATCTTAACTGTAGTTATAACAATGGCATAAAAATGTAGTAGATATATTTATAAATATATATATATATATTTACAGATAAATATGACGTACATTCAAAAACTCATACACTTTTTTTACGCTATTTTACCTATCAGTCTAACTTTTCATTCAAAAACCACCTTCAATTTACACCAATTTACACTGGTTAAACCAAAAAAAAAAAAATATATACACATCCGTCTAATCTATCTGTCTACTGTATTTTCTTCGCTGTCTATCTTATTTCTTTATTTCTAATTTCATTTCGTCTTTTTTTTCCTCTTCATTTATTTCCCTACTTCTTCTATTTTACTGTCTTGCTTCATCTCTATGTTTGTGTGCGTAATAACGGGGAAAATACCAAATAGTATTTATTCCCCAAGGTACCGAGAAAAAAAAAAGAAAAGAGCAATTGCATTTCTATTGTGGTTGTTGTTGTTGGTGTTGTTGTTATTTCTTTTCTTTCCTTTTCTTTATTATTATTGTTGTTGTTATTGGCTTTTAGATTGATGATGATGAGTGAATGCACTTCAACAATTCATTCATTCATTCATTCATGCATACATTGTAGATTTCCAAATGGAATGCATAATTTATCATTTTAACCACCCTTTGAAAACAAAACAGAAATAAGAGAAGAATTTACTTCTTGCAAAGTATAAATAGAGTTATGATGCATGGGGTTTTTTTCTTATCTCTGTCCATTTTTCGCCTAACATAGGCAGTTGTATATGAATGAAATGTTTTATCACTCTCTACTCTCAAATATATATATATATATATATATTTATATTTATATAAATTAAGTTTTCTGTACTGTTCTCGAATGGGATATTTTAAAAGAAAATAAATAAATATTTGGTTGGTTTTAAATAAATCTAAAAAAGTATTTCATCTCTTGCTATAAAAGAATATTCATTTTATTTTGTCTATTATCTTAAGTTTCACAAACAAAAAAAATTCATGTTTTTATAACAGGACTTAATTTAGAAAAAAAATATTGAACAATAAATAATATTCAAACTTATAAACCGAGTAAATTTAATTAATTAAGCCAAAAATGAAAGGACAATCTCATTGAATACAACATATTACTATGCATTTGGTAAGTTTGGTATCTAGTGTGAACAAAAACAGAAGAGAAGTTTAATCTGAAAGATGAATATTAATTTTGTCATATTCGATGAATTTGTTTAGAAATTAGTGAATATTTATCTAGGGTAGTATGATTTTTTTATATTTCATATACTGGATTGATTTTAGTAGTGACTAATATAAAAGATACATATATATGTATGCTAGTTTAGTGGTGCATAGGTTAAGCGATCGCACTTACGATCAAAGGTCTTGGGTTTGAATGCTACGAGTAGCAGTAGTCGTAGACATGCAGTGCTAATGAGTCCTATACCAGGATGAAACAGCTTTCAAGCCGTTTTACGTTTCTAATTGTGGTATAATGATGATTAAATCACAATTTCAACGTAAAACAACTATCTCCATCATTCTATGATGAAGAAAATCTTAACGTACAATATAAGTGGTGTATAGATAAAGCAGACAAGTGATCAAAATCTTGTGATAATTTTACTAAGCAATTTTAAGTAATCGATCTATCAGTATATTTTCTACTCTGTTTAGTTTTTTTTCATAAACCACTAAATTTCTTTATTCAATGAGATTAATTTCAACTGATTATTTTGAGTTGACTTATTCAAATGTCAATATATTTCATGTTTTGTTTCAATCTCTCATAATAAATTAAATCTAAATAAAACTAAAATGAATATTTATTTTCATTCCATTTTGTTAATTTTAAACTTTTTAATCTATACATCATTCCTTTTTAAGCGTAAGATAAAATTTAAAGAGATCAAGTGTTGAGAATCATTCTTTATTTTAAATAATTTGTTAACATTAAAGTTCATTAGTGAAATCAATTTTCTTGAAAAAAAAACATTTTTTCGTTGTATCTTATCGATTAGGGCAAAAGAGAAGCGATTAAAAAAAGATGCTGGAAGAAATATTTGGTCCGTATCTGATTCATTATTAATCAGTAGTACAAATACAAGTACCAATAGTAATACACCTCTTTGTATGGATGAATCCTATTTATTTTCAACATGTTCAAAAGATTTAGACAAAAATTCTGCAACATACTGTGGTGGTGATAATTCAATTATATTGGATGATTCTACAAGTGGAGATGAATATTTATCTAAGGATGAATTTCAACGTTCTGGTTCAAGTAAGTCGACTTACTTTAATTCAAATTTTCAAACTGAAGAGAAAGATGATATTAGCAATGATATTACCCAGTGATTGATTATCTAGAAACTTAGACCGACATTTTTCAAATTCATCAATGAAACCTAATTAAAATAACAATTAAGGAGTGTTTGTTTCCCACTGGAGGCTTTCTGCTAACAAGGAAACATCTTTTGAAAACATGAAGTAATTCATCGACGGTAAATCCATACAGAAAATCTGGAATATTGTTTTCAAATAGTTTAAAAAACACAGTATTGTAAAATCACTCACATTAATGTGAAATTGTCTCGCACTAAACTTTTGAAGTCAAATAGAAATTTATGTTACACTATTACTCTTCGTTGAATACAATTTATATATGATATTCTTTTATTTCAACGGTTATATTAAATTTTGTCCGTGTTTTAAAAGAAATTGACAATTTAATGACAAGGGAACAAAACATTGGCATTCATTGGTGCAAGTAGTCAGAGTTGATGTTGTTTCTTGAACATTGTGACTGATATTTTACAAATGAGACTGGATTTTTTTTCACTTGTTAATTTAAATAAAGATGTGGTTTTTTGTCAGAGGAGCTGACTGTTCTTTATACCTTTGCGAAATTATGAAACTAGCCTTGTAACTGTAGGTTGATAAACTGTGCTAAGATATGAAATAATTCTCTTATTAATATTACTACACTAAATCAATGACAGTCGATTTAAATATAGGACTTAGCAGTTGGAAATAAGCTCTTAGACGAACTACAACTCCTTGAAGATTGTCTTAAGTTTCAATGAATAGATTTTGTGACTCAACATTAGATTACAATTGTTTCAGTTGGTTTATGAAATTTTTTAATCAAGTAATATCAGAATCACCATGTTCTAATTCAGTCTTTTCACCCCTTTACTGATTAATCAGATGTTGGAAATCTTTGAAACAGCTAATATTCAATGAGTGGTTTATGATAACATTTCACGGTAAAAGCTCTGGTAGTATTTACGTATGGATTTCCTTCTTCCGATGAGTGTTATTTTGGGCAGAATGGATCACTTGACTAGATTATTTTTTTAATTTTTATATATAGTGGTGTTATTATTAAAAATACTTTCTATTATATCACTGGAATTTCAAAATTACCTTATAGATGCTTTCTGTTTCCTTTAAAGTGACAAATATAATCGATGTTTAGACTTACGCTGATGAGGAAAAGAACTTGTAATTCATATATATAAAGTGTTTTTTAAAGCTTTCTTTCACAGTTTCTGATTTATATGTGCCTCCATGTTTCATAATAAAAAAAAATTGTAACATTATTCTTTCAGGTGATTCAGATAGTAACTGTTCAGAAGAATCTGAAGATTTAAATCAGTCTTTAAATTTTTCTGTTGCATGCGACTCTTCACATTCAAAACATCTGACAGATATATCAATCACAGACAAATTTCCAATAAATAGAGAGGAATTTCTAGCTCACGATAATAATAATAATAATAATTCTACACGTTTTCAAGCATTTTTAAAATCTAACTTCTGTGAGAATCAATCACTTCACAATTTAACTTCAACAAAATCAGAACAAGTAAATGATATGAAATTACACAGTTCTAGTCATACATACCTGTCTAGTCCACAACATCAACATCAACCTTTTTCAGTAGATAATCAATCGTTCACTGCAGATAATAATGATAGTATCCAAACGCACAGCATAGAAAATAATACAAGCATTTTATGTGATCCAGATAATAAGAATCATAATATTTTACGTTTTACAACTAATCCATTTGGTTCAAATTGTTTTAATTTGAACAAGCAAATATTGTCTAACAACAATAAGTCAACAACAAAAGAAACATATTTACAACCTGTTGACTTTTATTCTTATGGTGTAAGTGCTAGCAGTCTTTCAGGATGTAGTATTCCTCAGTCAAGTTCATTGTGAAGAATATGCATTAAAAATCAATCCAATAATGGTGATATGTCACGGTATAAAATTATATGGTTCATACTAGTCTCTTGTAACCATAAGAATATATATATATGTATGACAGTGAACATTTTGCTTATCATTGACAAAACGAACAAATAATGGACATGAAAAATACAATAGTATTGAAAATCTTTTTCAGTAGTATTTATCAAAACTAAATTTCACATGGAACCATACAAATTTCATGTCAGAATTCTTATTATATTCGTGATATATATTTTATCTCTCTTTGTCTATTGATGTGTTGTTTCACATCTATGCTACTTGTTTCTATACATAATTCACTTTGTCAGACAGTATAATATTCAATTAATTTTATTGTATAAATATTGTTCTTTTTCAAGAAAAGTCTATCAGTTAATTAAATATGTATCTACAAATTGAGATGATTATTCATTGTTTCTATTCATATTATTTTATTTTATTTAATTTAAATTTAGAAGTTAAAATTTTACTTACAAAATTATTTTAAAACTATAAACAAACTCATGTGTAAAACAATTTCATGTCATTTTGAAATTTTAAAAACTGAAACAATGCATATGCGCAACATTAACAGTTTACCAAATTGATTGGATATTTTCAAAATAATACATCAAAAATTTGTGAATGATTGTATCTTTAATGGTCAATAATCTTTACTGATTGATAAGTTAACAGTGAAGTTGTTATCTTTTGAAAAAAACATTAAGTTAGCGGAATTTTGTTAGTTGAAAGATTATGTAGATTTCAAGGTAATTAATCTCTGTGAATTGATTATTTGTTGACATTTGATTGATGATAATTTGTGATTAATTCTGCTTTCAAGTTATATAGTTCTCAATAATATTAATAATGATAATAATAATCATAATAAAACTTTATTTTCAAAACTAGTAAAGTTTCTCTGAGATTTTGATGCCTTGTTTACATTTACCTCCAAGAACAACACAGTCTTGGTTATTGTTACGCTCGTCACTTGGTACTCTTGAAGCTATTTATCAAGCGAGTTCTGGGGATCTGACATCCCCAACAGTTACGTGCATTATTAAGGAGTAATTGATATCTATTTTGAGTGCTTCATTTAGCAAGTAACTAAATTTAATTCATGTATTAAGTGTACACATGGTAAAGATGATAGTTTGCTGTTGAATGCACCGATATAAAAAAAATGCTTTCTACAGTTTTAGATAGAAATAAAAAATCACAAGGATTATGAACAAAAAAGTCAATGAACTATTTTATCGGAGTAGTGAATTTAAAAAGAGTAGATAATCAGTTAAGACGATCAGATTATATTTTAATGATTTAAGAGCTGTATAATCCATACATTTTTACTCCTATGATGTTAGGAAGTCAGTGTTTATTTTTGAATAATCATGAGTATTTACTCGAACATAATAACGTATATATGACCATATTAGGCCTTCTCATAAATATCTCATTGCATAAGTTTTCTTCGAGTTAGTTCTTCATCACTGAAAACTCATTAGCCGATAACTAACTTGACAGTAAAATACAAGTATAACTTTTAAAATATAAAACGATCAATTCCGCTATAAATAATTATTAATTAACTGCAAAAACATTTCACTCAACGAAACTTCCTATTGAAATTATCTCATCCTTCATTCACACCATTGTGTTAACATTAGGTATTCTTCAACGATACATTAGATCTGATTATAAAATTCCAATATTATTGCCATCAACCAATGTTATCCATCTTTATTTTGATTAATCATCTTATCATTTCAAATTGACTGACAAACTTGTTCAAGCGAACATCAAAACATCAGTCATTTTAACTATGTTACTGACTATAGTAAATTTATTTATTTGAAAGATGCATTTGGCTAAAAACTTGACTATCTTTCTCTGCCTCTCTAAAGCATTAATTTTGGATGAGCACCCGTAGAACCCAGTGAGAACTGATTGAAAAGAATATTCTTTTTTATTCATATTTCTGTTTTTTTTTTATATTTTATTTCAAGACTTCCCACGTTGAATAAAAATCATGAATAATTTAGCAGTTTCACTGTAGGGAAAATTCAGTATATACATATATATATATATATATATATATATATATATATATATATATATATATATATACGATAATATGAAGTAATCCAACTGGATGTTCTTTACTTCGAGATATATAGGCAACAGAAACTCACAGTATTTGGTTAAGATTTAGTCTGAAACTTGAAAACAAAATTTGAATAACTTCGTTGGCGAAAATTTATGATGATCATAAAGACTAATGTTTTAAAATATAACTGAATGAAGATATCAGTGTTATAAACATTTGATCAGACTTGGTAGCATGGTGACTTTATTGAAAGCTATGTATTACTAACCTCATACTCTTCTTAACATATCAGGAATTTCGCTCATTGATCCGAAATGAAGCTAAAGTATTTAACAGTTTTACTAATCAGTAAATTGAATTTAATAGAGAGATAGAATGTAGAATTCAGTTAACTTCCAACTTCATTAGGTTGCCGATCTGTGTTAAATAAACAAATTAACCTTTTGTGAGTTTACAATAATGATTCTGTAGATTATTTTGGAAATAAAATCTAGATTTTATGAAGTGAGTAGACAATGAAATTATGATTTTTATTGACTTTAACAGCTTTAATTGATCATCGTTAATTGCTTTAATACTAATCCTATGAATAAAATCTCAACTGAAAAGCCTATGGAATAGTTATGCATAGTTCAGTCAATAGAATACAAAACTAATTACTTCACAAATGCATAAGACTTTTGTTGGTATGAAAACATTTTTTATGAATAATCTATTTTATGATCTCAAATCTGTTCATAAAAATCTGTTCCTCAACTCTGGAACATACAATTAAAGACAATCTTAGTCACAATGAAATGTATATCTACAATTATCACTTAGAATTTTTCTCATCAGAGATAGCTATCTGTTAAACCTAGACTGACTATTGGTTACTGAGGGTTTTAACCACAATAAATATTAAAGAACCAATATATTACATGTTTACTTCATTTGCTGGTTGAAAAATGATTAACTTCAAAGTTTTTGTCATCAAAGAGGGATAATCAAGAATTTTTAGAGATATTATTTACCATTGATCGGGTCCTCTCAGTAGTCAATCTAGACTACTAATAAATGTGAACAACGTTACTGGTGAATAAGCGGTCTCCAGTGCAAAATCGATTCTACGGTTAAATTATCCAACAAATCCATCAGTTTTGAGAGAAGCTGGTTTTCTTTCCAACTGCGTTGTACTTGATATGTTCGTTTGTCTTAAGACATTTAGCAATGATTTTTTGCGGTGTGCATTTTCGCATAGACATTTCTTCTTCTAGTCTACTTGAAGCAAAGTTCGTGAGTACTGTTTTAAATGTCTTGAAAAATTCTTCATTTTACAATTTTTTAGGCAGAAACTGCTGGTCTGGAGAAATCTTGATAGTTAAAACATTCTTTATGCTATGCGCTGATTGATTTTAAGTTCCATCTTAACACTGTTTAACTTTAAGGAGATTATTAATTATATCATAAAAGAATTTGAGCACTGCATTGTAAAAGTGGTCTAATGAATAAAAATATATATACAGATACATTCAGTTTGTTTTTTGTATTACTGAAGGGACTAATTACCGTGAAAGTACCTTTCCAAGATTTCTTTAAACAACTATGCCCAAAGCATGAACTTACTCTAAAGAGAATTTATTCATCTTATTCTGAACTTACTAAAATAAGAAGCGTTTTATGTGTCATTTGCTGAATAATAAACATAGGTATTTCATAATAAAATCCTAAGGCAATATAATCGCTTATTACATTATAGTTGACAATTTTAAATTTCAATCAACTAATACTAGATATTGTTATTGGTTGAATGAAAAATATTTTAAAATTTATTTGTATATTTGTAAAAATCTTTTAACAAAAAAACATCTTGAGAAAATTGCCAACTGTGTGCGTAGTTGATTCCCTTTGAAATATTCAAATGGTGTGTACACATCAGACAGAAATTTCACCAAAGAGTTAATTGATCATTCCTACTTGATTCTGTACACTAGCATCAGTCAATGTAACAACAGAATGCTGCATTTGCTCTTGACAAACAATACATCGTTGTAATACTTCCATCGTAAATAAATAAGTATTCAAATAGGAGAAAATGCTTATTAAACCTAGACTATGTGACTTATATACATGAATCTGTCTAATAATTAGATATTCTTTGATAAATCCATTTCATTGCAATAAATTTCATACCGTACGTGATAGTTCGATTTAAATCCAATGCTATGAAAATCATTTCGACATACATGAATGTTTATCATTATTGAGTAAAAAGTATTTATCTATTAGAGTTACACTTATGAATTTTAAAAAAGATTTCTAAAACTATCTGCAAAGTGGATCTATCAGTAAAAACAGACGTTGAAACTCTTCAATTCAGTGAAGAAAACCACTGTTTACAATAATACCAAATAAATTATTCACCAGTTTTTCTAATCGCGCCTAATTTAAGATAATAATCATCGATGTGTATCTAATTTTGGGCTGCAGTGATCTTAAAAAAATTACATCTCTTCACATTTTGTTTAATAAATAATCCGTCAAGTTTCGTATCAGAGATTGGTATTAGTGAAATCAACAGTAATATTTTTCTGTATTAGAACACACGTTTTTATGTCAAGAAAAGCTTCACAGTACTATTCAATTTAAAATTATTGTTGTTTAAAAAACCATGAGCTCAACTATCCTATTTAGTAATTTATCAAATAGTATGAATTTTATCCATAAGGAAATCCACTCAAACTTTTCATAAGGCCTTAAATGAAATTATCTTTAAATCAAAATATCATTTCATCTATTGTCTAAATTGCAAACTTTACTGTGTGTGCCAAAAAGTAAAATGCCTTTTTTGTCATTACAAAAATACATTCAATGTCGTGCAGACAAAGGATTTAGGGGA